ACGAGAGACTTTCTAAATTCGAAAGATAATTCCCCGGTAAATTACATCCGACTTGGCTCTAATAATCATCTTTCTCTCTCTCTCTCTCTCTCTCTCTCTCTCTCTCTCGCCCGTATCTTTATAGCGGATGAAAAAATTATTATTACATACCAGATGAATTAACAAAGGATTATCCGTTTAGTTCCCTTGGGGGACTTCCTGTCCCTCTCCCTCTCGCTTCACACCTCCCCCCCCCCTCGCCATACGTTATTTCCCATTATCGTTCAAATGCGGCAGTAATTGGTTTTCTATCATTGCGCGCGGCGTTAATGGCAATTTTAAATTAACGCCGGTGGATATCCGTTGTAATTAACTGTTTCAGTACGAAAAGGAGGGCGAGCTACTGTCGTCGCAGGATATGTTACCGAACTGGGGACATCCCTCTCCCCGTGTTTTACGTCGCGACGCGTCGCGACGCCATTTACCCGTGTAATTGACATCGTGTAATAAAATTACGTTTACAATTTTTGAGCCGCTTAAATCTGCGTCGTGAGATAATTAACAGCTTTCTAAGATGCGTATTTGCATCAGTAATATTAAATTGCTTGTTAATTTAATTCGCCACATTCACTGAGAGGATAACTAGTCGAAGTATTGCGAAGCGAATGTTACATTAAATCTTCGATATTTATTAATTATGAAAAAATTTTGCGACGAAATGCATTATATTTCATGAATTTCCGAAAAATAAAATGGACGGTTTATTTGCTAAGAATAAAATATTTTATTTCACCGTGTTTAAATAAAGTTTTTATCTCCGTGAAATAAATATATTTCTCATCAATAAATTTTTAAGTATCTTTCTCGGTGTAAGTTAAATCAGTTAGTAGATCCATTTATTATACAAAATCACAAAAATTTTATTTACAGATATTAAGCTTTTAGCGGCACACGTATGACTCCAAATAAATTCGTTCTTATTAAATGTATGAAACGATAAATTTATTTAAAGCGCATATGTCGTTAAAAGCTTGACATTTAAAATTTTTGTCGTTTCGCCCAACAATTGCGTTATGCTGTATAATACGTTACTCCTTTAGGACTGTGTTCGAAAATAATAAATCGACAAACAATCGACGCACAAGTTTGCCAGAACTCGTATAAATTCGCAAGAAATATTATTGTAGGCGCGAAGAAGAACCGGAAGGACCGCCTTGGCCGAATATGCCGTTTTTCACTTGCGTGTGTGTTTAATATCTTTTTCGGACGTGCACTAAATACCCGCATTACGGCATGCGACAATTCGCGATTTTTCTCCTTTCGCTTACATCTCTCCTTCTCGTCCTCCTCCCTTTTCCGCTTCCGCTTCCGGCACGATGCCATCCGGTACCCGCCATCCGCGCATGATTGTTAATATACCGTTTTATTAATTCACGAGAATTGTCACCGCTTTTAGGAGCGCCTTTGTAAGGGCCTTTATGACTCGCCCCTTTGCAGCGACGAGATGAATCTTTAAGAATGAATTTCACTTTACACTTGCGGGAACATCGGCACGCGGAAATTGCGGTGCCTCTCCGCAACGGTTTGTGAAATTGCTGGTAATAATAAATTAGATATAAATCGCAATGTAACAAATATCAGTGGGAATTTTTTTTCTTTTTTCTTCTTTTTGTATTTGTGTTAAAACCGGTCCAGTCGAGTCCAGAGTTCTTATGAAATTTTATATTCTACGCGTTTTTAACATATCTGAATGTTAATTTGATACATAATGCGATTGTTCGAACATTTTTCACTGATATTAAATATTTCGTGTGCCATTGCGAATTGCAATTAGAAAATAGCGTGCCGAAAAATAATCGCGTAGATAAAAAAAGATTTACTAGAGGATCCCTTTAAATTAACAGAGAAAAATTTGAGTGTTGCGACACATGTTAAATTTAACAAAAATTTTCCAACTACGTAAATAAATCACAATATTCGGGTGTATATAAACGGAGAGGAACGGAGTGAAATACGAACGAGAACGAAATAGTGTAAAAATATCAGTTCCCCCCCCATTTGTAGCAAAAAGATATGAAAGATATTAATACAAATGCCGACGTGAATGGCAGAATTAAATGATAATAAGATGCTGGAAATTATTACGGCTGGTCTATCCTGAATCGTGTATAAAATAAAAACGGATCAATCTAATTGCCCGGAAATTTTGCTCTCTCACGTCTCCACATCTCGCGAGCGGACTTTACGCCGAGGCGCCGCGTAAATTAAACGCATTACGATCGCAAATTCATACAGTGTACTCCTGCCCAAACAATAACCGGAATTCGTTATTTTTCCACTGCGGCGGGCGGTGTTCATTTCGCCACTGGCAATCAAGTGCTCTCATTAATAAAGCATTTGGGGCATAAATTAATTATCGCCCTGGTCTGTCGTCCTCCCACCCCTCCCACCTGTCCGCACACAGGGAGTTTTCCGTCTGTTTTCCCTCTGTGGAATACACCGATGATCGCAATCCACTCCGATTATTCCGATCTATTCGCAAAGTCGACAGTCTCTCTCTCTCTCTCTCTCTCTCTCTCTCTCTCTCTCTCTCTCTCTCGCGCGAGAGAAACACGCCGGATTACTTTCGTCGGATTACTTTTTCTACACACAGAAAAATATTTTTCCATCGCTAGAAAAAATGATTATTTAATTTACTTTCTTCCTCTTCGCCCGCTTTTATTTTGGAACCGCGTTAAAAAAATCTTTTTCAATTCAATTCATTTCGGATTTCAATTAGCAATTCATACGAAACAATTAATACTTTTCAAAATGTTGACTATTTTTAGTTCAACATGTACATTGTTATACACATCAAATCTCAAATGAGATGTTGGTGGAATTAAATAATTTTAATGGATAATGTCTTTGAATTTAAAATGTACGCAGATTCCGAAGGGGTTAAATAATTATCTTTAACAAAGAATATTTGCATGATAATAATCTTAAAGTATACACTGAGAAATCCGTTAAGTTGAATTAATTAATTCCTTGTTTGGGCGAAACGAATCGCTGGTTAACGCAATAAAATAATTTAGCTGAAACATTTGGTTATTGTAACATTCTACTTGTTTCTGATAAACAAGTTTATCTGATGCCAATGTTTACCAGAAACAAGTAAAATGTTACAATAACCAAATGTTTTGCTTTAACTAAATTATTTTATTCGATTTTATTGCACCGAGATTTTGCACCATATCCAAACAACAAATTAATTCTTTCAATTAAATGGGTTTTCTCAGTGTTACCAATTTTAGAAACATTCAAAATAAAGAATTTATTTTCTTTTGAAGAATATTATGAAATTGATCGAGGAAGCGACTTTGTATAATAAGCAAATCATTGTCCTAATTTCATAATCTTGATTAAAGTATCAAACTTACTAGGAATTCAGAATATTTCGAATAAATTTGTGGCTATATGAACTTTTGAAATGCTCGAAACAAGTAATTATTACTTGTGTACCTTGACGATCGAATATCGCGAGCTATTTCGCACTGCGAGCGATACGATTCCCAATGCCACCTCTCGTCCTCTCTCTCTCTCTCTCTCTCTCTCTCTCTCTCTTTCAATCTTTCTTTCTCAATGGATACTAATTTACGTCGAGGTTTTCGTAGCCGGCCTCGGAAAATCCGCGGTAAATCGAAAAGCGCGATAAAAGGGCCGCCCGGGCGAGAAATTAATCGTTGCCCGGAAGGTCTCGGACGTGTTAGGTGATGAATTAAAAGGATTTCTCTCTCCATCTATAGGTGAGATCGTTATACGGTGGGCCAACAACTAATTACGGATTATAGCACCTAAATCAATCAGCCAGAGCGCTCCACGAGGTGTAATACAAATGAAGAATTACGATAACTGGATGAAGAAAAGATAACAGCACCGCGGCCAATATTATGCCGTTGGTTTAACTTCGTGTTGAAACGTGATTTATCAATTTTTAATTACTCTCCATCTATACAGAGAAATGTAATATATTCTAGATTTAGATTTTATTTAAATGCAAACGTTACTCATGTTAAGCTGTCAGCTGTTAAAAAAATCTCATATAACACTGTTAATCCTCCGCCGGTAATATGGTATTGGATTTTAAAAGCACGGTCGATTTTTTATTGTAAATTTGATAGATAAATTCAAATCCGTAAAAAATGAGTAAAATATAATCCAACTTGTATGAATAAAACTTGATGATAAAAACTTAAAGCTTTCCCAAGTATATAAGAATTTTTTTAGATTTTTACACGGGACAATAGAAAAATTTGTATTGAGGTTTGAAAACCCAGGTTCCGTATAAAGGTTGAAAATTTCACATTGCCGGCGGAGGATTGAATTCATATGTAATATCAAATTACATTTCCAACTCGAGTTATTTTTAATCATTTCTGCAGATCGCCGTTGCTCCTATTCAATGTGTCGTTAATTTAACTGAAACAATGGAATTAAACAATTTAGCCGAGAAAAATATATTAAATATGAGATTCAAATTTAATTTGTTATTTACTAACAAGCGCACGTTAATATGGACGTTGTTCGTTTTAAAGCTACAACTGCAGAAATGGATTACATTCTGGCGTACGTGGAGGTTATAAATAACAAAATGTTATTTAGCTCAAGGATTATATCATTGTCCCTTTAATATCTAAAAGTGTATAAATTAATGGAACAGAACAATTTTTCAACTATTTTTCATGGAACATACACAAATATGGATATACTGAGAGAAAAAAACATTGCTGCAATTATTATAATTTGACTACAATTTATAGTCATTTCGGTGCCGACTATATATTTTTTGTAGAATCATAAATACATGACTACAAACATTATACTAATAATGACTACATTAATGAAGCTTCTAACCATAATTATTTTACCATGCGATTATAATCACAAACGCCAAACATTTTTCTCTCAGCGATAAGATTATTTTCTCGAATGACGTGTTCAGAGTTACAAAAAGAGATTTCTCGTTCCTTTGTTTTCAGGGGACATCGTCCACTGCTCGGGAGCGAGAGACGCAAATCAGCTGGTATGTCAAATAATCAGCTGGTTGACTCCTGTCTGTAAGTGTCTTTCTCTATGTTAAAATAAACTGTCGATAGAGACTGCGGCGAAAAGTTCTCATACGCTTCACCGATTACCGTGCAAAGGAACTAATAACATTTGTGCATCCCGTAATACTGCTCGACCTCCAACTCATTCATTCATCATCGATCGCGTTGATCTTCCATGACCATTTGCACTTTTTTACACTTACGTCGGGCACAGCTCTCGTTCTTCGACAATTTTTTTCCCCCCTTAAAAAATTTCCAGCCCCCTTATTTCTCGCAATAAGCTCTCGCAGTAATTCACGAGGCATTTTCTCGGGCTCTTGTAGTAAACTCAACTCCAGTCTTACTCCCCGACGACTTTGACGTTAACTTTCCTTTGCGATAATTCAGGCATAATTACAAAGTTACGTGACGTGAAGGATTAAAAAGGTTTCGGCGCTTTAAGCTTCTAAGTTTAAGTAAATAAACAACGAAGCCGCATTTTCTCCGTGGATTTTCAGCAAAATTCTGTTTCAAGCTTGCGTCGATTCGAACTTACCGGCTCCCTCCATATTTAAGTATCGCGATCGTTTAAAAACTCCCCGAGGCCGTACGATGATGCGTCTCCGGCGAAAAAGACAGTTACAACGACACTCGAGTCCCTATTTTGTAACGACAGTGGCAACATCGTTGCATCGTCGTTGTATGCATCATACATTATAAAACAAACTGTTCAACGACAACGCAACGATATCGACTGTCACTTAGGACCGGTTTTTCATTTTCTGGTTAACTTGTGCTTTTAGAATTAATCACACTTTGATGATAATGCAAGAATTGTAATTTTTCTAGCTCTGTGTGATTAATTACTAAACTGATGCTTTTGTAAAAATTATTCACTACAAAACCATCATCAATTTATGATTTTTCTAATCACTAAACCGATGGTTTTGTAGCGGTAACTTTATAAGTTACTCACTGCAGAACAAAGAAGTCAGTTCGATGATTTTTTTCTAGTTGTATATTTCATCATTAAGCTGATAGTTTCCTAGTGATGACTTTGAAAGTTACTCGTCGTACAAAATTATCAATTTAGTGATCGATCACAGCTGGAAACGTACAATTTTTACAATAAGGAAGTAATGCAAGGCTCAACATTGAAAATCAAACTAAAATATCACAAAGGCTACGAACCATAATTAGTTATTCGACGCTAGAATTGATACTCTTTAATAATAAACGTTTCAACTTGCATTCGGTCAGTCTCATGTTACATGATAATGTAAAATTCAATAACGACGATTATAAATTTAAAATTTTTAACCATGCGTGGTAAAATAAAAATCGATGGTAATGGTAATGTAAAATTAATGGTAATGTTCGAACGCTCTTACTGAATGACGTCGTTACCGTATTACGCTTGTGCATACAATTTTTACTATTATCAGATTGAGCCTACGTACGAGTCGAATGAAAAACTCTCGTCCTAAGAGTTATAAAATAGGAGCTTAGAC